TATTGGGTAACAGTCTATTGAAGACGGCATCAAACACGATGAATAAACGAAATTTAAAACAGTACATAAAGCCGATTAATTCGCACAGATTGTGATCGCGACGCTTGAAGATTTTACTAAGATGACTTCAACCAATGCTGCAGTTGAGCGATCGATAAATAACTCGCTAGTAATTTCCGATAAACTAATCCGTGCCCAAATACTATGACTACCATATTGTTTTAGCAAAGCTGTCAGATGACGGTAAACCAGGGAAGACCAGAAATGCATAATCACAGTAAAAAATGTTAAACTGAAGTTTAGATACGAGAATGGAGATTCTTTTACGATCAGCGTCATATGATGGGGCTCGAAGAAATAAGGAACGTTTAAACATTATAAAAGATCCGGTATTAGGGGTTTTCTATAAAATGATAGTTTTCAATACCGCCGCTAAGAATCACCATCTCTGTCGGTTCTCCGCATTGACACAGCATAGGCGCATCGTTCCCTTGCATCTTGTAATCTAGGCGACCGCTTTAGTAGGTCACAGCTCCATGGTATTTAGGCACCTCCAGTGCATGCATACAAAACAACACCACCTCTTGCGTCGAATAAAAATATTTTTGAACACAAACCAATACACCCCGATTTAGAGTCATGTATAACATAAACTTATAAAGGCGATTTTAAAACTAGAGTTTTGACTTAGACAATACATTTACTGTCGGATTCATAAACAACTTTTGCCACCGACTACATTGAGAGTAACAAAGATTAAAAGTGTTTATTCAAAACAGCTTAGGGCGAATTAGAGCAACTGGAAAGGAGCGCAAAGGTGTTAACCTGGCGTGAAGTTCACTTCAACAGGCTCGCCCTCTCGCGTTTTACAGAACCCACCTCTCAGGGTAGAGGGATTCAAATGCTCCGTAGGCAGTGGCGAAGATTACCGGCATGTACATTCTCAGCTGACACTTAAATACGAAACTCATTATTGAATCCGCTGCGAATCAATAAACAGTACCTTCCAAACGAGGAAACAGTGTCGATCGAGAGCGAGGGTTCACTGTACAATAAGGCTTCATGGTACATGACTTCAACTCCGCTAATGCCGGTCTCAAGCCCGATTGAGAAAGAAGGAGGGTTGGAGACCATGGCAAGTCTCCGTAAAATTCAGCCACCTGCCACTCATGGTATTGACGCAATCGAAAATTATACCAGCTCAGTCGTCGCCCGGGTAACCAAGGACCGCGCACGCTGTTGGGCGACTGAAGCAGACTGCGAAAAGTCCGCGATCAGAACCTGCTCACTGCCCTCTGCCAGCCGGGGGCGTGGCAGCACAACGACGGCTGACGAAGACCGACGCAACGACTAGGAAGATACCAGTCAACAACGGAATCGCTACCCGTTCTGAACGGAGGAGGCAGACAGCGCGATGATATTACAGCACGTCAAAAAAGGCTCCACGAAAACGACACCACCAGTGGGAGCTCAAAGTCGGAAGCTGGAACATATCCTCACTCAGAGGAAAAGAACATGAATTAGTTGATGAACCCACGAAGCACCAACTCGACATTGCTGGACTCTCGTCAACAAAACGCCCAGGCTCTGGACTCCTGAACCTCAATCGATGGAAGCTGTTATACTCAGGCGTCGATATCACGACTTGCGCTCAGGCCGGTGTTGGCGTTCTGGTAGAACCCAACCCGACGGATCGAATTATTGATTGGAAGCCTGTCAGCGGAAGGGTGGTAATCTTCTGACTCAACTTGCAGCAGGTTAAAGCGTTGACCTTGGTACACATATATGCGCCCAATTTTGATGAAGAATATGAGACCTTCCTTGAGGAAGTGCAGTGTGCTTTGTCCGAAGTGGCGAATACACAGTCCCTCATACTAATGGACGATTTTAATGCGCACGTCGGAGTAGACGCAGAAAAGTGGAACGGCGTGATTCGGAAAAACGGCCCTAGGGACCTCAGTAATAACGGCATGA